TTTCCACTTTATTTTCGGTTTCTGGGCCACGTGTGATAACGTCCTTAGACTCTCCATGCAACTATTAGGGACGTCAACATTCTTCCATTTGGGTACTGCAAATAACTTGAAGCATCATGGATTGTGATGAAGAGAAAATGGCATTCTGGGTACAAGTAGAATAAAGGGTTAAAAACTAGTGCTGTCTGGAAATTCCTCTTAGGGCTCTTGTGCCACTGTTAAGCCATATGAAATATTGCTTCGGTTCACAGATGGAGCACCTCTTGGGTACTATGAAATCATTCCTATTTCATCTTTGCCATTTCAAAACCCTTTATATTATTTACTAAACCTCTTAAACGTCATTATCCTTGGTGCAGATAAATGGCTTGAAGTCCCTGCTTTCAGGTTTCTGGTATCATTTCAATAACCTGCAGAAAGAAAGAAAGAAAGAAAGAAAGAAAGAAAGAAAGAAAGAAAGAAAGAATAGAAATTCTGTTTCTGTATATACAGTATATTCTTTTTCTGGTCTTCTGTAAATTTGCAGGTTACCAGAAGCCATATATTACTCAGATATTTAACTCGTAAGCTGTGAGTTGGGTAGAATTCGACTGATCTAGATTTTTAAAAGGTAAAAAATATGGTGTTTTTTTTAAGGTAATAGTGTTGGAAAACCAGCATGGCGTACTGGTTTGTGGGTTGGATTTAGACTCTGACTCAGCTTGGTCATAAAACCCACTGGGTTGGGCAAGTCACATGCTCTCAGCCTCAGAAGATGGCAAAGGCAAATCTCCTCTGAACAAATCTTGCCAAGAAAACCCTATGATAGTTCACCTTAGGGTCTCCATAAGTTGGAAATGACTTGAAGGCACACAACAACAACAACAACAACAAACAACATATAGCAATTTTTATATGGAGCAATTTAGAATATTGGTCTGGTTAATCCAGCAAGGAAACTACTAAACCAAAAAGAGAAAATATGTAGGCTGGCAAACTAATTACCATAAGTTATAAAATGAGCTGCCAAAAAGTTCAGGATGAGACCTAAATGCAGAGAGTTGTCCAGAGTGGCATGCTGCAGAATACAATGAAGTTGGGATTTGGTGCATCCACCATTACTTCCAATATGGATGCTGTAGCAAGAAGTTAACATAATTCCTGCTCCCTCCAAGTCTGAGACTATGGAGATTATTGCACTCAGTTATAACACGACTTACTTGAGCCAGCTTAAAATTAGAAGTGGGAGGCATCCTAATAGTATCACACACATATTTAGACACCAAAAATCACTGCCCAGCAGCAGCCTGGCTCCATCACCACTCGGAGGGCACTCTTGCGGCCATTTTTTCAAGCCGGAAAACTCCTGGCTTTGAAAAGAGGCACAAGGAGCGCCCCTTGGAGCAGCGATGGAGCCGGGCTGCAGCCGGGTGGTGATTTCGGCAGCTAAATGTGTGTGTTACTATCAGGATGCTGCCCTCTTCTAATTTTAAGCTGGCTCAGATAAGCCACATTATAACTGAGTGCGATAATCTCTTTATTTTGGGTTTTTCTCCCCCTTCATACATGTGCTGATATAAACGTTGGCTGTCTTACTATATCATCATTTTTGTTATAAATAGTGTGTGTGTGTGTGTGTGTGTGTGTGTGTGTGTGTGTGTGTGTGTGTGTGTTAGTAGTCATGAGCCATGTAACAGTGGTGATGCTGGTTTTATTTTATTTTGAGAACAAAAGATGTTTCCATGCTTGTGTGAACAGGATGGAGCAGAAAGGTGCAGAGAGAAGAGTGGCATCACTATGGCTGGCGTCACCCCCAGGCTGGCAGCCACTCCACAGCTCTGGTCAGGTGGAGCTACTGGTGAAGAGAAGGATCTGGTCTTGGTTGCCTCCCCCATCCGTGGAGCAAAGACAGGGGTGAGAAGGATCCCAGACTGGGGGCTCTAGAGACCCTGCAGATTGGGGAAGGGAGAGTGCAGAAGAGGAGGAAGATACCATGGCCACCATCCTAGAAGCAGCTCTATCTGGTGTGCTGCCCCAAATCCTCCCCTGGCAGATAGTGCCAGGGGCATACCCTCCATACCCCACTACCATCACAGTTAGGGTGATCAAGTCTAGGGGAAGAGCAGGAAGGGACAGAAAGAAAGTGGCATCAGGGCCTCTGCCTCCTGCCTCTCTTGCCACCATCCCTGCCCCAGCCTAACTGCCTGGCATACCATCTGGCTGCCTCCTCCCTGGCAAGCAGGATGCTTCTGCTGTCCATCTGCTATGGCTGCTGGTGGGCAGCCCCTTCCAGGTATGGCAAGGCTGCTGGCAAGGCTGGGAAAAGAAGGTAGCAACAGAGGTGGAAGTGGCAACCACAGACTCCACAGCTTCTGCCAGCACCTCCCTTTCCCAGCCCTGCCGATAGCCCTGCCAGGCCTGGAAGAGGCTGCTGGGCAGCAGCAACACCCATTTGCAGGCCACAGCTTTCCCTGGGTTCCCTGACTGTCATCAGGGGGAGCTTCCAGAGGAGAGTCTTGAGATGGACCATAAGGAACCACTCCATGAGGTGTTCAACCCCTCTAATGGAGCCTCCTGATGCAGTCCTAGTAATGCCACTGAGGTCCAAAACACACTGCAGAAATAATCCCACGGTGGACCACTTTAACTGTCTTGGCTCAGTGCTAGAAGATCTTGGGAATTGTACTTTATTGGGGCACTTCTGCAGTGTGTTTTGGACCTGAGACAGAATCTCCCCTATATGAGAGGTTGTCATGTTGTCACAGTAAGATGCACACGTAAAATAATGAATGGTGATACCATGAGCATTGACAGCTCTCTGCTGACAAAACACTATACACACGTCCCTCCACATTTGTGGCTTTGACTTTTGTGGCTTTGACTATTCACGGATTTTATTATTATGTCTTCTCTAGGAATATCTAGGTCCTCCAGCGCAACTCTATGGTCAACTTTAACCAAAAGTCGCACTGAAGGGCCTAGAGACTCCTAGAGAGAACACTCTACTAGGCATATGTAGTTCCTCTAGTGCAATTCTATGGTCAATGTCTGGCAGATGTTGACCACAGAGTTGCATTAAAGCAGGGGTAGACAACCTTTTTAGGCTTTGGGCCGGTCCCGCGAAGTCCTCCTTTCCACTGGGCCGGGGGGGGAATGGCAGCGCACACGTGCACGCGCGTACCCGCCGCCGCTGCACGCAACCCCCCTGCGCGCGCTGCCGCCACCGCAGCGGCACACACGCCGGTGGCTGCTGCCGCACATGTCACAGCTGCCATTTTGATTTTCAAAATGGCAGTCGTGGCGCGTTTGCGCATGTGCAGGAGTACTGCGCATGCACAAACTAGTCGCGGCTGCCATTTTGGAGACCAAAATGCCGGCTGTGACTCGCTTGCGCATGCACAGTACTCCTGTGCATACGCAAATGCATTGTGGCCGCCATTTTGAAAATCAAAATGCCGGCCGCGATGTGCGCGGCCGGACAAAGGTGAAAATGCGCTGCGGTGGCAGCGCGCGGCAGCGGCAGGGGTCTGCCTGGGCTTTTAAGTCCGGTGACCTGGGCCGGAACCGGCCTGGGGGCCATAGGTTGTTGGCCCCTGCACTAAAGGATCTAGAGATTCCTAGAGAGGTGTTCTCTCAGGTAAAAAGATAATATTTTTGTTATTTGTGGTTTTCTTACATTCATGGGACTCCTGTGCCCCTAACCCCAGCGACTGTGGAGGGATGAGTGCACTCTGGAGCAAAACAGAACCTCAACAGATCCTGCCCTTCAAGATGTTGGTCTCATTTTGTTTCAAACAAGGTATCTGCAGTAAAGTGCAATTATGGATGTGGGCACAACCTGAAAACCTGCTGATTCATGTGGGAACCAGAGGAGTGGTTTTAGAAGAAGTACCATTATTTCTTAAATGGAATCCTTTTTATTATTATTATTCATCAGCTTGACTGAAGTTATTTTATGGAAGGGGAATTAGGTTGACTTCTGTTTTGTATACTGCAGGGAGCTCTGTTGGTACGATACACTTCCCCATGGCATTAATTAATTAGTTGCAAACTAAGAAAATGCCTTCAATTGAAAAAGAAAAGAAAAGAAGAATGGGCATAATCCTACTCGTGTTCTTGTGCGGTTCTTTAATACTTCTGAAAAGCCTGGTGGATTGTACCCCTTATGAGGAGGAGAAAGGGTTTTGCTAAAAGTCAGTATCAAAAGCATACAGTATTGTCTCCATAACAAGGATGTTCTTCATATTTCATTCCAAGCCAGAACATTCATCTTCTTGTAGATTTATTCTGTCATTAATGTAATATATCTAACTTGGGTTCTAGCCACAGTGTGTCCAGTGTCTATCCATTTTCTAAGGTTTTCTAGACCTCCTATGTGGCTGAAGCACTAATAAGGCTGCATCTACATGGCAGAATTAATGCAGTTTGACACCGCTTTAACTGCTCTGGCTCAATGCTATTGAATTCTGAGATTTGTAGTTTTGTGAGATGTTTAGCTTTTTCTTTCAGAGAGCTCTGGAGCCACAACAAACTACAAATGCCAGGATTCCATAGGCTGGTGCCATGACAGTTAGAGCAGCATCAAACTATATTAATTCTGCAGTGTAGATGCAA